TAGTCGACTCTTACGACATGCCTTTGGGGAGGCAGTGGATCTATTCTTGTTTTCCCCACAATGGGGCCCCGGAACCCACACGGGGGTTATCTGTCTGTCTGTCTGTCTGTCTGTCTGTCTGTCTGTCTGTCTGTCTGTCTGTCTGTCTGTCTGTCTGTCTGTCTGTCTGTCTGTCTGTTCGTACGTCCGTCCGTCCGTCCGTCCGTCCGTCCATCCATTCATCCTTCCATTCATACATCCACCTACCCACCGATCCATCTATCCATCCACACATCCAATGGTGACCATTTCCAGCTTCTGTTGTAATGTCATTCGACTTCACATAAACAGAGGTAAGTCCACTCCACATTTAGTTGCCATAACTTTATTAGTGTTCGAGTTACGAACAAAAAAAAAAAAAAAACTCGGTCAGTACCACAACACTGTGCTTCAACCTGGTAACAGTGAGATGACAAACGAAGAAGAAAAACGAACAAGAAGAAGAAAAAAAAACGAATGAATAAAACAACGAACTTTTTTTTCAAGGGGTTGCAAATTGGGCGCGCAGGCCCGTTTCACATTCGGCACTACCAAGCACTCATCTTTCAGGCCACAGTTGCATATTATCAAAATATACATGATGAAAAAATGCATACACACATTATACATACAGAATTAAACACACAAAAATACACAGTTACACATACTCTTGCATGCTCACACACACACACACACACACACACACACACACACGCACGCACACACGCACGCACGCACGCACGCACGCACGCGCGCACACACACACACACACACACACATACATACATTTGTACGTGCGTGCGTGCGTAGAGACAGACAGACAGACAGACAGACAGACAGACAGACAGACAGACAGACAGACAGACAGACAGACAGACAGCCAAAAGAAAAAAAGAATAGTATGTGGCTAGGGCAACCAGGATGAGAACCGCTGTAGATTATCAAACATTCTTGTTGACATTTTTTGTAAATGTCGGTCTAGGCGGGAACTGTTGATATCGATCGTGGGGTTTCTAGGTCAGTTGTTTGTCATACACGGAAATAACAATTGTTGGGGAAACCTCGCAACCAGTGACAGGGGCGACGCCATATATAAATCTTTAGGGGTGGGAGCTGAAGGGAGGTGGGGGGGGGGGGGTTTGTGGGCTTAAGCCGGTCTCAGGTGAGCAATAATAATAACTATAATATAGGCCGGCCCCCCTTTTTTTTATATTTTGTAAAAAAGGGGAAAAGGGAGGGGGCGGAGGAAAGATGTCTGAGCTCCCCAGATTTCGATACTCCTGACCAATTAAATTTAGTGAGCAATGCTGACATGTACTGATTGGCACTCATAGCAGTAAAGAGCATCAGACATACTGAATACTATAATAAGTAGAGAATGAAGTTACCACGAAATGACAAGAAAATATTGACTAGAGATGTCTTGTCTTTCTATCTATATATCTAATCTATCTATCTATCTATCTATCTATCTATCTATCTATCTATCTATCTATCTATCTATCTATCTATCTATCTATCTATCTATCTATCTATCTATCTATCTATCTATCTATCTATCTATCTATCTATCTATCTATCTATCTATCTATCTATCTATCTATCTATCTATCTATCTATCTATCTATCTATCTATCTATCTATCTATCTATCTATCTATCTATCTATCTATCTATCTATCTATCTATCTATCTATCTATCTATCTATCTATCTATCTATCTATCTATCTATCTATCTATCTATCTATCTATCTATCTATCTATCTGTCTGTCCGTCCGTCTGTACGTCTGTCCGTCCGTCCGTCCGTTTTTCCGGTTCATTTATCCACCCACCTCTTTTTCTATTCTTCCCTCTTGGCTGACCCCTCCTCGTCTGTCCACTCATTCACATATGTATCTGTTTACACACAAGTCTATCTTTCGTTACGCTTGACTGATATCTGTTTGTGCAGCTGTTGACCTCTCCACCTTTTTTTTCTTCTATCCAGCTACTCTACCTCTTAAACTAGTTTACCAGCCCATCTGTTCGTCCTTTTTTATTAATACCCCTGCGGAAAAAAAAATACATACGACAACAGCCAAAACTAGGTTTGCCTATTTATGCACTAGTTTACCTCTCCATCCTTTGATCGACCTATCCAAACGCGGTTGCACCCATTAACTAGTTTACCAGGCCATCTGTTTTCCCTTATTTCTCAATCCCCTTTTGATTAAGAACATCGCCCCAAAATCTAGTCGTCGCTGGATATCGCTGAATTTTCTACGACCGATTTTTTATTTTTTTTTTTTTAAATATGAATGCCCGCCTTTCATAATAAGTCACGTGATAATATTATTAATGACAACCAAATTCTATCATGTAACCGGAACTAAATCTACCCTACGCCTACTGCTCCACCGAATTCTGGTGTTTATTTTCTTCACTACTCTGTGACACCATTTGTAGACACCATTTTGGAGACAGGTCCAAGTAGATCAGGGTTAACTCATTCACTACCTCGCAAAAATCACAACACATTTGTTGATTTCAGCTGACATGGTATACTTTTTTTTTTATCTCCGTCTGGCCAGTCTGGTTGTTACACCAACTCGCTCTGCCCCAGTTTTCTTAAATTTTTAAACTCTGGGATAAGTAAGTAAAAGTAATTTTTTCACGCTTTTAGGCGTATATTGTATATAGGGCTAGACCTATATTTTTAAAGATCAACTGGCACAAGATGGGTAATGTGGTCAGTATCACACCGGTCGCCTTTACTTCTTGGGACTCAACTCTGGGATAGCAGCCTGGAATTGATACCCCGAGACTTCATCTTTGGTCCTGACGGTCAGAATTTTTCTTTCTTTCAAAAATGACCTTGGCTCCCAGGTCGACCTCGCCTAAAATAGGTACCATGATGGTCTGGCAGGAGGATAACCGTTCTGCGGAGAGAGACTGACCCATATGGGATAAAATCCGGTACAATGAAGGCGATCCTCTCGATTTTAACTTTAACTCTAACCAAGCGTGAAAATAAAAAGTTAAGGTCCCGTCTTGACACTTTGGCAGTAGCGAGGGGTACATGTAATGGCTGTAATGACCGCTTAAACTTTCCATTGCCATTGCGTTTTTAAAAAAAAAAACTATTTATTATTACTGTTTACTATTTATTTCAAATACGCTAATCGGTTCACATCTCGAACACAGCGAAAAGAACGATCACTGCATACTTACGCCCCTCATGCAGAAATTGTAACATGTAAAAGCTATCAGTTACTAGCACAGCGAGGCTGTATGTGCACGCATACTTTAAACAGTGAAGTGATGAGGAAGAAACTATCACGTGATAGCCTCTCTAGTGGAATCGTTATCAGCTAACACTTACATGTGCGATTTGATTCACGCCTCCACTGCACCTTTGGTTTAATGGACATGTAGTGCTAGCCCAAATTTGACATCATCATGTGCCCTGGCAATGGGGTGCAGCTGGTCATGTTTCTAAAATTCACACGATCACTGGGATAACTGATCAAGTCTGTGCTTTTGTCTCCCTTCCATTCATGAGGCTAAGCCATACATGTATTGATCTTTTAACTTTTTCCCCTAGCTCTTTTTTTTTCTAGCAGTCTTGCCCTTTTATCACCAAATTTCAGAGTTCCATTTCTTCTCATAAAAAGCTAGTCGCGTTTCCTTTACAGTGCGTTGTAGAACCATCCCTAGCATTTTTTTGGCAGCAGTCGTTTTTCTAGGCAAATTTTACGTTCAGTGTTTTGTCATTGCTTTTTGGGCGGTCAGCTCTGGGTACTGAAGCCGAAACCAATGCAAGACGGTCTGCTGCCTAATCGCCTGCAGCTGGGATCGAACCCGGCATCCGGCATTAGAAAGCACGTTCGCAACACCCAAGCCACATGTTTTCTCATAACATGTTAAAAAAAAATTATAGAGACTTCATCTTTTTTTTTCCCAGCCACCAACGAAGAAATTCGAGGAGAAGTCAGTTCTTCTTTTTCTTTTGTTCGCCTGAAAAAAGTTGTCTATATCAGCAGTTTTGTCTGTTGTATAAATTTCACAGTCGTTAGTTCATTCAGTGGTCCATAGAGTTTACGTTCCACTGTTGTTCTTTCTGGCCAAAAGGTTTGCCTTAATGTGTCAAAATCGGTGCAGTCCTAGGGTATATGCTCTGCTCTGGGGCACTTTTCCACAGGTGCACATGGCTGATACACCTTTCTTGAATTTTGTGTACATGTGGTTACGTAATCGGTTGTGCCCTGTTCTGAGGCGGAGAATAATTTTGTTAGTTTTAAAAGCAAGTATTTCTCAGTATGTATCCTTTGCAACTCCAGCATCACCTCTTGTAAAGCATAGTAGCTAAAGCCCATTTCACAAAGTTGTGCCTAGGGAGTACACTGTCTGATCCACATTTTTATAGACCAATCAGCACTCGATGTTTCATCTGGTCAACATCATACTGGCTGCCTTTACTTCCCATGACATTCATGGAAAACAATTTGGGGCAGCAGTCATGTGTATCCCCAACCTTCTGTCTCATGTACACTCAGTCTGACACAGATGATCCTCCATGCCGTAATGTCAAACTGTCCAGCATCTTCTCGCTCTGTCTCCCTTTGCCTCTTTTCCCCTCCAACTTTCCCACCATCATGATGTACTATAGTTTTCTCCTTCTCATGACATGACCGAAGAATGTGTACTGACTCCCTTCTTCTGTGAGCATTCAGTTGTCTTTATGAGTCAGTTCTTTTTCAAGACATCTTATTACTCTTTTCTGATAATCATGTAGAATCAAATCAACATTCTAACTCTTTCATTATAAAAAAATATTTGAAACGCTTTGAAATTCACTCTTGATTGTATCTCCTTGCAAAGTTCTATTTAACTGTAAAATTGTGAACAACTTAACTCAAAGCAGAGAAGTAAAAAAACTCAAAAGAATTATAATTATAGCAAATGTGATATTTAATTTTAAAACAATAAAACAACATCAAAATCATGAAGCAGATTTCAGCCCTTCTGGTTTTGGAACAGCGAGAGTTATAGCAAAGTCAACAAGCCAGGTGGGAAGAGTCCACAGGGGCCTGAAGACCAGGTTTCCATTGAGGCCCACAACATATCTTATCTTGGGGAATCTGGCTGTGACTGCATGAATGTAGGCATCAACAACTTCATCGATGTTGCTGGTTGACAGAATTTTGCATGAGAGCGAGATTGTGTCCATCACTGAAACCAGAGGGAAGAAAGTATAAAGAGACACACAGAATGACAAATATTAAGTCAGGGATCAGGGGCATCGGCACCTTGAGCCAGACAGCCACCCCTCTGCCCCCACCTAAATTTGCAAGCAGAATAGTCTGCTCCCCAACCATGTGTAAAAGTTCTCTTTTCAGATTTTGTCATAATATTTCAAACCTATATTAATTTGCCTGTCAGCAGGTTAATCTTCCTCTTTGTCAATGTTCCGAGCCCTTGAGGTTCATTGCTGCAGATATCACACACCTCCGCTCATCTATCTGGTTGGTCTTCTCTTTCCACTGGTGACACCAAGTATTTGCAGATCCATCTGGATGTTATTTCTCCATCGTCTTCTTGGTCTGCCTCGTGGTCTATGACCATTCAACTTCCTTGTGTATACAGTTTTTACATCTCTGTCAATATGCCCAAAGCCATTTCGGTCTATTAGATCTCATGATGCTAGTAATCAATGGTGATTTAAACAGATTATGAATGTCGTTGTTGCTTTTCATTCTTCATTCCCCGATGTTTGCATCTTTGATGTGTCCGAAGTTTCGTCGTTTTTGAAAATTGTTATTGAGGCTTCACCTCTTTTAATTGTGCTCCAAATTTCTGAGCCATATAAAAAGTCTGATCTTATCAACGTGTTATATATTTTGATCTTGGTGTTGTGAGATAAAGACTTTGACTTTAGCAAATGTTGAAGGGCATAGTAAACATTATTTCCAGATTGTATTCTAAATTGTATTTCTTCTCTCAGCAAGTTGGAGCAGTTGAAGTTTGCACCCAAGTGACGTCCTTAACCGTGTCAAGTGCACCCTAACTTTATGGACACAGTGCATGAAAGGAGTAATTAATAAACATGAACAGGGTGAAGTATTCACATGGGGCATAAACAAACATATGTTTCGGGTGACCCAAGCCTTGACCCTGTGATCTCTAGGCTTAAGGTAAACTCAGACATAAACTTGACTTTACACAACAAAAATATTTAGCTCAACGGAAAACCCTAATAAATGCTACCCTTAATTATGTATTCATATCCTGGCCATCTAGATGTTTCTGCAGGTATGAAAACAGCCAATAGAATGATCTATTCATCTTGTAAACATGTCACTACAGAAAAGGGACATTTACGCGAAACTGGAACCAACTAGTAGTGTCATTTTGTTTTTCTAGCTTCTCAGGGCGAAAAATTTATCGCTTCACCAAAGACTGCCCGCTACCCCTTTATCTTTTGGGACAAAGGCAACAAACCCTCCTCACAAGTCAGTAAAACTGAAGTCATTATTTCCAATATGTATAAACACCCTACAGACAAAGTTTCTCATCTTGGAACTATTATATGTTTCTTTAAGTGACAGAAAGAGAGTGTGCTCATATATTTCATTGCAATATGCATAAAGCTATAGAATCTCAACAACTTACACTTCTTTTTGTACGTTTCTCCATAAAATGTCTGGACCTCACTGTCCAACTCACTGAATCTTTTACTGATAGAGCTCACATGAAGGTCGGCATCTGTGAAAGGGTTCAATAATAAACCCATTATTGTCATTATCAGAATTTACAGCCAGTGAACACAAAGAAGAAGAAGAAGAAGTTGTTATGTTGTTATGTTGTTATGTTGTTATGATCATGTCATTGATGGTGTGTGTGGTCAGTCTTTCCATGCATTAAAAAAAATTTGACAAAAAGACTGAAATATGACCCCAAAAAATGAACAAACTAAAGGGGGAGAGGGGGGGGGGGAGACAATACAATTTCATCAGGGAGCTTTGCTAATTCTTTCACATTTACTGACTAATCTGTATGTGCTGTCAATTTAATAACTTCTTTTGTTCCACCAATCATTTTGTTCCACTAATCACTGCATCTTTTCTCCCAACAGTTACTGTAACTCATCCTGTTACACAGGGAGTATTATAATTTACTCGAGTCCAAAAGTTTATAATTTTAATGTCTTCACTGAATAGAAAATCTAACTTTTTCAGGTCCAAAAGTTTATGATTTTCCAGTATGATGTAAATATGTAAATTTATTCAGATTCAAAAGTTTATGATTTCCCAGTAACAATTGCAAAGTAAATATGATAACTTACTCAGGTTCAAAGTTTATGATTTTCGAGTATGATATAAATATGTAACATTTATTCAGATTCAAAAGTTTATGATTTTGAAGTGCATAGTAAATGTGATAACTTTCTCAGGTTCGAAGTTTATGATTTTCAAGTGACAACTGCATCATCATCATGTAGCAGGTCCTTTGCAGAACGTCGCTCTCATCACAGTCTGCTGAAAGAAACTCGGTCTCTTGCCAGTTCTCCCTCCTCATGCATTTTCACATTCAAGGAGTCACCTATATCCTGTGCCCATCTTCGTGTCGGTCGGCCCCTGCCCCTCCTTCCTGCTATAATTTTTTCCAATCCGCCGTGGCACTTGATATGACCTAAATATTTCAGCTTCGAGAAAGGATGCTGTTTATTAGCCAATCTTTCTTGATGTTCAGATCTTTTAAGATGTCAATATTTCTCATCTTCTTTGTCCAAGATATTCTGAGAATCTTTCTATAACATTTCAGCTCAAAAGCCCCTATTCTCTTTCTCAAGGACTGAGAGATAGTCCACGACTCACATCCGTATGTAGCCACAGGGAAGATGCAACAGCATAGTAAATGTGATAACTTACTGAGGTTCAAAAGTTTATACTTTTCAAGTAACAACTGCATAGTAAATGTGATTACTGAGGTTCAAAAGTTTATAATTTTCAAGTAACAACTACATAGTAAATGTGATAACTTACTCAGGTCAAAAGGTTTGTGAACTGACAGTAACATGAAAAACATAGTAACAGTTACAGCCACCTGGCACATAAACAGTAAGCACATCACTGCCCGGCAACACTCACTTGTTATATTAGTCTGGTATCCCCCAGGCTCAATGATGTGAACGCTGACTCCCATCACTGATACCTCCCGACGAAGACAATCAGAATATGCTTCCACACAAAACTTGGATACCGAGTATGAAGCTGGTAATATTGCCAGGCGGCCAGCGGTACTTCCCATGTTGACAATGCGGCCTCTTTCTTTCCTCACCAGAGGAAGAAAAGCGTTTGTTACAGACATCATTCCTAGGAAGTTGACTCCAATTGTTGCCTGAAAGATAACAACAGCATGCGTTACAAAGATGGAGCTTAACTCTTTGAGTCCCAAGGAACGCATCATACGTTCATAGATTCCTACCTAGAAGCCCAATGAACGCATGATGCACCGATTTTATTACTTTCTTTACTACCCCCTGGGACTCAAAGAGTTAACCAGCTCAGTCAAAAACTGCCATTTCTGCCACTTTTCAGGGTATGCTAAATACATATATCATAAAATGTGAGTAGAATGCATAATGGAGGGAATGGAAAAGATGCACACAAACACAACCGAACATTTCAACCAAAGTCTTTTATCAACAGAGTACTAAATACAGCACAAACTGTGACTAGAAAACTTAATAGGCAAGACAACAGTTTTGTATTATAGTCTTCATATTCATACTTTTCCCCTCACTGCGTGCTTCTTTGTTTCATGTTGACCTTTGTTTTGTTTTTTGTTTTTTTATTTAAAAAATTTGTTTATTAGCCAGATGTGTTTGTATGTATCTTTTCCATTCCTTCCCTTGAGCTTTCTAGTAATATTTTTGGTTATATCTACATTACTTGCAATCAGCTCGACGGCAGTCACCACTTTTTATGTCAACAATTTTCAGGGTAGTCTAGTTAGAAGGGTCCTGAGGATTTTTTTCAGTTCTGGCCCTGTGGAAGTAGTATATCCATGAGTTTAGCGATGTTATTCCTGTCTCTCTCTGATATTAGCTAGGTCCATCTGGGACTGAAAGAGTTAAGCCAAACATTATCACTCTAACGTCTAAATATTCATCTGATGTCATGTGGCAAAGTGGCTAGGCACCCGCCTGCCATCTTGGGTTCAAATATGCAGTGAGGTAGATTTTGTATTTTTTAAATATAAAACCCCAGATTCATCCAGCCTGAAATATGTCGTGGGAGGTAAAGGAGGCCAGAATTATGTTGACAACCCCAACTGGTTTTTACAAGCATGTCTAGTATCACAAAACTGATCACCATTGTCACAAAAAAAGGTCCTTTACTCTACTTTTTCACAATATTATTTACTCGTGTGACAAAAACTTTTTTTTTTTTAAATGTACAAATGCTTTTTTTTTTAAAGTCATTAAAAAAAAATATGGCTTTATCAGGACTTGAAACCATGACCTTCGGATCCACAGGAGAGTGTCTAGCTACTACATCATGATGGCTACCAAACTTTCATGTGTTCCTTTTGACATATTGTAATGTGGAAAAAAGTGCACTCTGGTTATCACTGACAAAATTGTTGTGTACTGAAATGGTTTGGCCATTTAATGAGAATGAATCCAATTATGTCATCAACAAGTGCTTACAACATGAAAGTAGAAATATCAAGAGGTAAAAGACAACCAAAAAAAAGAGGGATTGAAGGAGTCACTGATATCTTGAGACTCCATAATATCACAGCAGACAGGGCAACTGAGTGTGCTACAGCTCAGACACAGATCATGTTGACCTGTGACACCTAGCAGCACAAAGAAGAAAAGGGACAAAAGAAAAGAAAGTTGTAGTGTTAACAATATAATCACTTACCTGGTAATCAGATTTATTCAGCCACTCACAAACAACAGGTGCTCCCATTATTCCAGCATTATTTATGACAGCCCATAAGCCTGCACGAGCAAAGGTTTCACAAAATTAATCCTTGCTAAACTAGAGTGGTTATATTTATGGACATTTTACAAAACACAGCCTAACATATGACACCACAATATCTAGCATAATGGAGGTGGAAGTAGTAACTGCAGCTCTCTTGTGGCTAGAGAACAAGATGCATACACATATCATAATTGTAACAGAAGAACAAGATGCATACACATATCATAATTGTAACAGAAGAACAAGATGCATACACATATCATAATTGTAACAGAAGAACAAGATGCATACACATATCATAATTGTAACAGAAGAACAAGATGCATACACATGTCTAGTTGTAACACTCTGAAAGCATGATGAGAACGGTTAAGACATGGATGCTTCAAGCAGAGTGGCAAGCTATACTGGGAAGGTGACGGGCAGTGAGCATACTTTGGATCTTTTCTCTGGGCCATGCCAGAGGGCATGGTGGGTAATGAACAAGCAGACAGATTGGCTGGATCTGCACCACTGGGTGGTGAATTGATACATGACAAGGCAGATGTGGTCAAGGCCCTTTGGGAACAAGCAACAGAATCAGTAGAGAAAGAAGATTATTATGGCCTGGAGAGAATGAGGAACCTGGGTGTAACCAGAGGGTCTGGCCGGCTGACTACACTCAGAGGAAAGGCAAGACAGACATATAACCAGATTGTGACCGGTTTTAACAGTATTATAACTCTGCGCTGGCTGCTAAAGATGAGGACAGAGCATGCATGGGAATGCCCCAAGTGCTGTGATGTCAATTCTTGACTCAACTCAAATGTTAAATGCACGATTTTTGCATTCCCATTTGGCTCGCTTACTAGTACAAGTGCTAGCCATGACATCAAGTATTCAACTAAATTATTAAAAGTAGACAATTCAAAACACTTGTTAATGTTTCAGTTTGTTACTAAACAATCGCATCCAGCAATCTGTGTCTGTGTGTGACCGGACGTTCATGAAAAATCTGATTATAATCTGATAACAAGATCACTAGCAGGTGTTCCACTGTGTCCAGTGTCATTGATGTTCTGGGGCACCCAATGTCATTAGTTTATGTGTACTAGTGGTCACCATTTAGGAGAGTTTCTCTGCAATCTAAGCTCTAGCTGTCAGGCCTGTGCTGCTATATTCATAAGCCCTCCTGTCTAATAAATATCTCACATTCTTTGACTGTCCAGTGAAGGGGTAGCTTTCTTACTCGTTACTTTATTCTTTCTGGCCTATCTTATTACCACTGGCCCCAAGCAGGCAAGTTTTGCTATCTGAACTAATTTTTACACTAAACTAATTACATGTTCTGTCCCTACGCCGGTTCTCTTGTATCTCCGCATTTACAGATTCCAGACAAACATTTTCTACTGACACATTCTTCCCAACAGGTTTTTGAAGATTTATATTTCTTCTTCTTCTTCTGCGTTCATCCGAAAATGTAATTGCATTGTGTCTGTTTACAGCATGGCTGCGATATTTGCACCTTTCGGCCAACACATCCAACTTCTGCGGGCAATTTTTGACCGGATTAGCCTTCCCGGTGAAGATTTATACAGAAACAGGGATTGATTTAAATTTTGCATGTGTGTGTGTAAAATAATTACATTTCACTGTTTTGGCAACAATCAGGGGGGGGGGGGGGGGGGCACTTGCTAGCCATCCCAGGGCCAGTTGAATAGCTCTGATCTATAGAAATAACACTATACAAATGGTGAGCTGCCTGCTACTGAAAAAACTAATTGTGTAACGGTGAATTTTCTGTGTGTGCTTTTAGAGCCATTATGGAAAATACATAGTTACAGTGAGTTGCTTGGTACTTAAAGAGTTAAAATATGCTGCATACTGAATAAATTAATCACAAAGTACATTATTTTATAAAACTACATGGTGAGTCAGAAATATAGCTACAGGATAAATTTGCATGTTTAATTACATGACAGAGTATTATTTTAGCTAAGGAAATGAGACCAATGAAAAGGTACTTCTTAAAATAATAAGACATTACAATACAGTAGCATCAAGTCACTTAATTGCCTCAAACTGCTTGCTGTACACATCACAGCTTAACTGAAAAGGTTTTGGAAAGTCACTCTTGTTGTCTTTCTTTTACACGAACAGCAAAACACGTACATGTATTTCTGACTCACCCTATTTAAAAGAGATTTAATAATTCACCACAAGACCTTTATCTTGAGGTAAATGTTTCTTGACAGTTTTCAAAGCCTCTAGTATACTGGCCTCATCTGTAACATCCATTTGCAGGGCTAGCAGATTCTCAGAGCAGGATTCTGTCAACTCTTGGACTTTTTCTGCCGTAAGACATGCAGCAAAGACATGAAACCCTAGCTGGTCCAGTCTTCGGGCACACCTGTTTCCAAATCCTGAAATGTTAAAGATGCCAGCTAGTCTTTTTTGGAATATTTTAATTGCTTTTAATTTTTCTAAGAAGGTCACCCAATCCTAGGGTATAGGCCCAGTCTGGAGAAACTGACCTGATCTTAGGAAAGACAAAAATGGTTTCTTTTAATTGTTTTGTTTTTTAAATAAAAAACACCCAGTGTTCAAGATTTTTACTATTTTTATAGTCCATGCTTTGTGGTATTTGTAATCACATCTTGTCCACAGCCTTCTATCTCATGTACTGTTTAAAATTTGTAATATGGATGATCTTCAATGCCATGCTACCAGATCATCAAACATATTCTCTTCTGGTCTCTTTCTCTCTCTCTCTCTCTCTCTCTCTCTCTCTGCACTTTTCAATCTTTATGTTGTCATGCCATACTCCAGTTTTCTCCTCCTCACATGTCCTAAGTATGTAGCTTGCATTCTATGATAGGAGTAATAAGTTTTCTTCATGAGTTAATTTTTTTCAAGAACATCTTCATTACACAAGATGATGTTCTCGTCATTGTTCTACTGTATAAATCTACAGCCAAAGCTACTTGTGTCTGCTAATTATTCTGTATATGGCAAAACATTTCTTAGCTTCTTCTGCCCCCCCCCCCCCCCCTACCCCCCCCCCCACCAGTCATTTTAAAAAAGACATGGACCCTTGTATTCCATTAGTTTCCCTAACTTCTTCAATTAAAAACATTTTTCTAAAAATGTATGAATCCTCTCTCCTCACCAATGTTAATCAAAAGGGTTTATGAACATATAGGAACTTATTTTCCGCAGGTAATTAGGAAATTGTTGTAAAGTATATTATTTATCTACATTAAAAAAATTTTGTTCTGAAATATATAAAGCTGTATAAAAGGAGTAATCAGTAAACAAGAACAGAGTGAAGTATTAAATGGAATGCATTTCCTGGGGCCTAAGACAAATATGTATCAGTTGACTCGTGCCATGACGTTTGTCACTGAGGCTTACAGGAAAATGTTAATCAACTTCACTTTAAGAAAAAATAGAAACTATGCAGGAATAAACAAGTTATTGAGATGATTTTCATGGATGAAGTCACTGCCTGCAGCTTAGGGACTGTTAACTTCTTATATGATATGGTTTTTTTCCCCCCTTATGTCCTATGCAGTTGTTACATTCACCAACTCATCTCAGCAGTTTCCTTACTCTGTTCAGTAGAGTTTTTATTTATCTCTGTTAAATGCAAAATTTGTTTCTATAAAGTGACAGCTAATTTTGATTGAATGATTAAATGGTCAAACCATTTCAGTACAGAACAATTTTGTCAGTGATAACCTGAGTGCACTTTTTTCCACATTACAGTATGACAATTTCCAGGCACTGGAAGATTAAAAAAAAAATATAATGACTGCCTGTATTTATCACTTTTGTGGTGACTCATGCCATGACTCCATGACCTTTGTCACTGAGGCTTACAGGAAAATGTTAAGTCAGCCTCACTTTTAAAAAAAAACTACTGTATTCACAAGGATTTGAGCCTGAGGATTTCGGGCTGCATGGCTAGTACTGTCACCAGAGACTGTGAAGGTTAAGATTTCATTTTTGCTTCTGACAGAAAAACAAATTCAACAACTTTAATGAGTGTTTGAACCTGCGTCGCCTTCACGAGGGCCCAGCATTCTTAACCGTTTGGCCAGCTGCTCCTCTGAAAGATAAGAGATTGAAAGTTTAAAGGTGGAAGTAAGATTATCAACTTCACTGCACTGGAGATTTTGTTCTACATGGTTCAGTCTCTCTCCAGAGAACAGATGGCCATCTGTCAGGAGAACTGCACAAAGTAAAACTTAATAGATCTTGCCATGATTCCCAGGAATCTCTTGCACTTGTAAATCAAATAAGGAACTGAGAAATGAACCCATGACCTTTACAACGTGTGTCAAAGGCTTAATCACTAGCCATGCAGACACCCCCCTCCCCTCCCCCCACCAGGTACTGAAACAGTTTACTGTTACATTATATGTGCTTCACCATGCTTTATTCCCAGGTCACGCAATTATGTTAGTGTCAGAGATTTATCACTATCCACTAGCCCAGTTCATACAATGTTAATCACATCTTCTCTGTCTAAGCTTCTTTCCCCATGCCCTGATGCACTGCTTGCCAGTTGGTCTGTTCATTTATTACATGAAATGCTAGAATCTAAGCTAATTTCCCTCCAATTAAATACACAAATATAAATACTACACACCTGTATCACATCCTGTTATAAGGACATGGAGGTCAGAATTCTTTTTATTAATTCTTAATGACCTGTAAAACCAACTGATGAGTATAACTGTCAGGATTACGGTTGATGCAGCCAGAAGTAAGAGTGGTACAGACATCACAGGGATGCAGACTTGATCTTGTCCAGATTGGAACTCAGGTGAAGGACTGGGTGTGTCTGTAGTGCTCATATTTGTTGTCCTTCTAGTTTCTGTTATTAAAGAGAAAACTTTATATATATATTGGACTTTTTCTGCCGTAAGACATGCAGCAAAGACATGAAACCCTAGCTGGTCCAGTCTTCGGGCACACCTGTTTCCAAATCCTGAAATGTTAAAGATGCCAGCTAGTCTTTTTTGGAATATTTTAATTACTTTAAATTTTTCTTCACCCTGGATAGTTAAAGGAAACTGTATTCTCCCATCCTCTACTTCACTTTTGTCTCCACCACTGCCATATGTTTGGTCAATGCCCCTAACTGCACCTGAAGCTCCTGCTGTACCCTCGGCTTTTCAACCATCCCTAAAGATGACCAATGAAGCACTGCTGTCTTCTTTTATTGTTTTCCCCATCCTTTCTGCTGAGTGTTATCCATGCTTCACAGATCCATCTGTGTAGATATCTTTTAGGTGTGAATGCTGATCTATCAGTTCCCTTACCTCTGTGTCTATGGCCACAGGAATCTGATCCCTGCAGTAACTCCCCAGTGTGATGACAACCTTAGCGATGCCATGTATGTCAACTGGTATATTGTCCTTTCTTTTCCTTGATTGATCTTGTCTAGGTCACATACCTGCTGGATTAAACCCTCAGCCTTTGTCATCCAGGAGTGGCCTCTTTTGAGATGCATTAATTTAGTGTCGTGTATAGCTTTGTGCAGATGGTTAATGTCTGCCAATACCCTCTTGTAATCCTTGACCGATGCAACTTTATAACTGTTAGCCATCGTTGGCAAACCCAGGACAAAACGCATGGCATATGACTTCAGTACAGCCGAATATGAGTCTAATGGCCTTATTGTGTACTCAGTCCAGTCTTTCTAGCTGGGTTCCGCTGACAGTGAGGGAGCCCTGATCGTAGTCAACGACACTTAACACAAGCCCTTGATAGAAAAGAAAAAGTAGACGTTTAATATCAGCTGCTTCTAGCACCTTGAGTGCTATCTGACCCTTCGTGGCTCTAAGTATGACATTGTCTATGTGGTGTATATACATGACAAGCATCTGTCAAATGTCATGCCCAGGTATTTCATCGTATTTGTTCTCTCGATGTCCACACCACACATGCCTGTGACTGGCGTGGGTGTACTGACAATGTGGGTATTCAGTAAGAGCCATTTCAAAGGGACCTCTGACGGGTTGAAGATGCTTTTTATTCCTGACACCACTCACTGAGTCTGTCTAGTTCGTGTTGTAGTGTAACTGTAATTTTTTGCCCGTTTCTACCTCGACAGTAAACAAGAATATCATCTACATACAACATTGTTCTGCCCAATCCTATGCTTTGTGCACTGGTGACTCCTGCTGTGTACATACTGAAGTGTATTGGAGACAATGGTGATCCCTGGAACAGACCCATTATGACGTGTTGAAGTTTCGATGCTCAGACACCCCAACTTAACCCATTTTGTTTCTATGTGCATATCCAACAGCAATTTGATGAGCATATTGTATAAAGATACTGTTGAACACATCTTCTAAGCCCTACCACTGGGTCCATCCACAAGGCAGTGAGTAGTAGTGTGGCTGACACCCAGTTGTCATGCTCCTGTTGTGCCCTGCAACTTCCAGATCACCTAACATATTTCAAGGTTAAGCCATCTTTGAGACAAAATGTTAGCCTTTGATAGTAACTGTCCTAAAATGTTCTTTCATCATTCGTATACAACTACACCAAGTGGCTGACCTGGGGAAAGCAGGCCACGAGGGCTCAGACTCCCTGAGCTCTCCTTCCCACCATCAGAAAATGTCAAGGGGTCTAAGTTGTTCCCTTAACCACGTACAGACTTCTTTATTTAAACATATGTTTATACATTTCATATTATCTTTTCAAATATTTTATTTTACTTATCTGCCATTCAGCATATAATATAAATAATAATAACAATAATTATTATTATTGGGCACTTAAACGCCTTTTCAGCTGCTAGATAATTAAAATAAGGGGGTTGCACCCCTTGCTCCCTGAAGTTTTCTTTGTCACAGCACACTCATCACCGCCCTGTGTCTATTGTGACACTCATAGAAAGAAGTAGAAAAACAGAAGGATACACTACTTAGACAACATAAAAATCAAAAGCTATAGTATCATAACTATTACATACATTTTAGAAATTTATATTCGTCAAGCATAGATCTATTTTAATTAGATTGAATATTTGGTAATGAAAAAGCTGATAGACTGACAGGCTATCTTCCGAATAAGAGTCCCAAATTATCGAGGCCGGAAATATACCCTAACCCTAATATACCCAGTCACATGTAAATTCCGGACTTCTGCCACCGCCGAGAGTATCTCCCATGCCGCTACGCGTTGCGTGGATTGGGGCTAAACTAGATGGCTGGGACTCACGAGCAAATAAAATGACGGAAGCTGCAGGAGATGCGGTAGCTGCTGCTTGTGAGTCCCAGCCATCTAGTTTAGCCCCAATCCACGCCAGGCGTAGCGGTGTGGGAGACACTCTCGGCGGCGGCTGTAGTCGCCGGAAGTGCGCAATTCAAGTTGCAATTTACATGTGACTGAGGCCCTGTTAGGGTATATTTTCGGCCTCGATAATTTGGGACCATTATTCGGAAAATAGCCGATTGGCAGATGCTGCATTAATTGAAGATGGTCAGCCCATGGATCATGCAGACACTGTAAATGCCTTGGAGAGATAGGACGCTCCGAGGACTTTGGAAACAATGTGTTCACATCACTGCTAAGAATACAAGAATTTGGAGTAAAGATCGGCACAGACAAGCATGAGAAGCATACCGGACGCACACAGAGTCTTATCAACCAGCATACGACTGGTACTATTAACCGTGCAACGCTGATGAATATATATATATATATATATATATATATATATATATATATATATATATATATATATATATATATATATGATTTATGAGTTGGATTATCTTCACAGCATTTCGGACACATCCACAGGTGCTCAAATTTCCCTCTCAACATATTCATCAGCATTATAAATACTAAATAGACAATGTCTCTACGGCCTCAAGTGATAAACTTTATCTATGTGTGTGGATGGCTATACCGAGTTCACCCCTCCTTGAGACAGCTCAAGTCAGTCACCAGGTGTCCAGGAGGGATAGAATATAGAAAATAAATTATTTTAATATTAACATCGACAGGCAAAAAAAGTCAGTCAGACAAGGTTTTTATTCAAATTCTTTACAAGAAACCATGTATAAAGTAAATTTATAGTTACATCGTCTCTCACGTCGTACCAAACTGAATCAGTTCTGTCAACAAATCAGTGTTGCCAGCTTGCCACTTTTCTTTGACAAAAAACATCCAAAACAGAGTTTAAAAATATCTAAAAACATCTAAATTTGCGTGGAAAACATCTTGAAAAACATCCAAATGGAAAGAGTCACAAGTTACATAGCAATTGAAATGACTTATCCTATAGAATCATGTCCTCATCGTCACTGATGTCTGCCTTACAAGATCCACGGGATAAACTTAGCTTGGGTGATGGAAGTTGAAGCTTCAGATCCAAAATGACTCTGGTATGCTTTAGCTGTTCCAGTTTTTTTAATACCCAGTCAGGGAGCTGATAAGTGGAATAGCCTTTTCCTACTCTTATCAGGCCGAATTTTATTGTCAAGATAGCATTCCATTATGTTTCTTAGGTTACATTTGATGAATTCACTCCAAATGAAAAACATCTACCATCTAAACGTCAAAAACGCTATCTAAATGTTACTTGACTAATCTAAATGCAAGGGAAAACATCTAAATGTGGATGTAAAACATTCAAAGTGGCAACACTGGTTGCTACTTTTCTTTGACAAAAACATCCAGAACGGAGTCAACAAATATCTAAAAACATCTAAATTTGCGTGGAAAACATCTAGAAAAAACATCCACGGAAAGAGTCACAAATTACATAGATATTAATATGACTTACCATTTAGAATCATGTCCTCATCTTTACAGAAGTCTGCCTCACAAGATCCACAGGATAAGCTTACCTTGGAAGATGAAGTTAAAGCTTCAGATCCAAAATGACTCTGGTGTGCTTTAGGTTTTCCAATTTCCTTTAATACCCAATCAGGGAGCTGATAAGTGGAACAGCATTTTCCTACTCTCATCAGGCCAAATTTTATGGTTAAGATAACATTTAGGAGGTCAAGTTTCATCCTGTTTCTTAGGTTAGATTTGATATAATTCATAGCACTGAAAACTCTTTCTACGTCAGCATTTGAGTGGGGTAGTATCATGGCAGACATGGCACATTTAAAGAGCTTACATAATTGACTGTGTGATGAGGCATCTTTAAAATGTCTCACTTCCCTCCAAAACGCTTCAATTTCTGTTTTGTGTGTCCATTCAACTAAGTTTATTTTGGTTAACTGATATTATGCTTCCGCAACACCATTATCAGTAGCCCCTAAAAATTTCATAACTTCACAATATTTAGGTAGGCTTATGTCCTTTACTGACTGAAGTATGTTGCTCACAGAAAAAAGTGAAATATTTTTCAATACAGGAATTTCGGGAAGTCTCTGCTTCAATTGCTTAAATAATGAGTTAAGGAAATCTTGACCGCGTTTTCTTAAGCTGTTCTCTTCATTCTCTGTTAACAGTCCTTTTGTTTTTAAATCATCAAGTTTTGATTCGATTTGATATCCAAGGTATGGCTTAGGGGCCAAATAGTTCTCTATAGTGCAAGTGAGCAAATCAGCTTTAAAAGCTGGCAACACCAGTCTTTTATCAACTGAGTGAAATAGAAAGTGAGATCGTCAAGTAATTTAACTTTATCAACATGTTTAGATTCGAACAGTTTATTAACTTTTTGCACTTCTTAGAATAGGTTGTACAAAGAGAAGGAATGCAACATTTATTTTTATCAGAGTACATTGCAAAAAATTTTTAAGCTGTGCAGCACTTTTAACTTTGTCTTGTTATTTCAAAGTGTGTCTTAAACTGCAACCATTGGTTCACAATTCTGTCA